TGAAAGAATAATTAATCTGAAGTCGAAGGAAGCTACTTATAAAAGGAGGGGCAGGCCTCAAGGGTGCGGGATGATGTGCGTTCCACAGGATATACCTAGTGCTAGGGCAGGGCTGCACCGGCGACTTCCATGACTTCTTGAAGTTCCCATCACGCTCTCTGCCACGGAAACCTAGAGCGCTGACGGAGGCAAAATCTGGAGCGTGCGAGGTCACATTGGTTACGAGACTTGATTTAGGCGATAGAGCCTGACAAGGACAGCACAGCGACGCTTTTCAAAGAAGTGACTCTGAATACACGCTCTCATCGGTGTCTAATTTTACGGGTACCCGACAGGAGGCCCGTCGCGCGGCAAGAAGGCAGAGTCAGCGGACGAGTCGCAGCGCGTACTAGATTTCGCGTCAAGTTAAATAGAATGTCCCATTGTACGTCCTACATCGCACATCACGCGCTGCGACTCGTCCGCTGACTCTGCCTTCTTGCCGCGCGACGGGCCTCCTGTCAAGTACCCCCCCCATTTTACCTGCTGCTGTGCTCCTATCAAAGTCATCCCGCACGAGTTACCTTCTATTTGACCGTCACGCTCGTTTCAGGCGCACATTTGATAGGGATCCGCTCTCCTCTGGAAAAATTGTTGAAGCTTGAACGAAGTAATCCTCATGAAATGACCAGTAATCACAAGAGTGCAACACGAGTTCAGTCAACATCTTCTATCCTGTTCCATCCCTACGCTGTGGCTGAACAACGCCGCCACTACTGATGAGGGGTGTGGGTTCTATGCCAACCGAATGCAGAAGCAGTGGCCAGATCGATCATAAGGGGCTGAAAAACTTTCGAATTCTGCAAAAGGCTTTGGTCAACGTATGGTGAGCTGTTCGCGAATGTTCCAGCTACGGCCCTGTAACAGTCGAGGTCTCTTGACGATCATCGATAAAGATGAATGGGGAAGCTTGAGCTAATATTACATACAAAACTCAACAAAGTACGCCCGCTTCACGATAACCGAGACCACATGTTCCGAATATGACAGGATTCTAAATCTTCAAGCTTAGTTAAGAAATCCTATCAGATCCATCTGCAATGGAGATCAGCCGCCCTCTAAAGGCCGTTCATTAATCCTGCTGCGCAATGAATTTATGGACGAGAAATGTGATTCAGAAAGAATTTAGCTATCGACCTCTGTTTTCAGTTCAGCCCCCTCCCTTTTTTTAGCTTGAATTCGCCGACCTTCTACGAGCTTGGCATCGAAGCTTGGCACTGGTGAGTCGTTCGCAGCAAGTCACTGATTGTGTTGGTCCATGTAGTGATGATAGAGATTGCTTTTTGTTGAAATAATGATAACTCAAAAACGGTTGAAAGTGGCACGAACTCTTGAGACGCCTAATAGCTTTTCGGTGTACTGGGCACTACAATATGACCACTTACGTGCGATATGGACGGGTATCCTCTCTTGGAATAGGGAGCGAACTTGAAGCGCAAACTTGATCCGAGTGATCTTTTCCACCTGAACAAAATTTCTCTTCAATCGGAGGAGTATTTAAAATCGGAGTTCACGATCAGAAGGCGGCCCATTAGGGTCAGTGGTGCAGGAATGAAGAAAAAGCATGTGCAGGGATGAAGAAAAAAGCATGAGAAATGGACCAAAACCTGAGAGATGGAACGCCTTATTAATCGTTGATTTCTGCGTCAGGCTAGTCTCATCATTGCTGCCCTCTTCAACTCTAACAATCTCTCTGCTATATGGCTAGAGTAAGGCGACGAGAGGTTACCCATCGGCGGAAGTGCGAGGCGCGACCCGCGCGGCTACAGCCCTGCTAGGCCCATGGGTTTATACTCCTCGCTGCGAAATGCGGTTCGGCCCCCACCGTTGGGGCCTGTCTGCGTTTCGACTGGGCCTATTTCCGCTTCTTCAACCTCCGACTTTATTGTGGAATCTTCCCTTAGTGTACAGCCATGATTCCTAGGCGAATATGTGGCTTGAAAATAGGTAGAGCATTTTTCACGGACGCTAACCTAAGCATGGTTTTGCTAGGGGGTTGTATTCAAGAGCTCGGATTGGAGCAAATTATTATGATTTTTATCAAGAAAATTCAAGGAAATGTCAAAGAACCTCTTCTATGAGTTTCACAGTCATTTTGTTATGTAAAAACCCTACCGTTCCCCTCCCCCCCTTCTTTATTTTACGTGTTCTGTAAAACCCCTACCGCTCTCTTTCCCCATTCATCAGATACTTTAAGCATTAGAGAACGGAATTTGGATTCTGAGAAGGAGGGGATTGGGTTGAACCATGAGATATTTCAAGGCTTCTTGATCCTGCTGATGTCATTATGGAAAGGGGGAAGACGTTCAGCGCCGACCTCAAGTCCGCTTCGCATCTCTAACATTAAATCTGCATTGTAAGGTTGAGCGCAAGACCATGGTGGTTTGAAGACTAGGGAAGCCTTTCTAAAAAGAGTCGATGCAAAAAGGGTTCTGCTGTTGCTTTTCAATGTGGGCCTGGAAAGAAGCGCATGGACTTATTCCTTTGTCTTCTTACCATTGGTAGGGCAGAAACGATTCATTCATCTAGGAACTTGGGACTAAAGTCTTGTGTTAATCCGGCTGGATGGGGGGGGGGGGGGATGTAGGTGTATTCATGAGTAACAGAAAACGTCACTTCTCACCATAGGTATTCCTCATATCCTATTAAGAAGTTATTTTTAGGATTATCGCATCGGCTGGTAAGTTGGGATGCGCCACACATTCTTTTTTCAATCAATTTCTCTTTCGATGAAGGGGCAACCAAAAAAGCACGTTAGATATTCTGAGAAACTCACTGATTCTGGCGCATGCGCACCCGAATTGGTTTCTGATTATTTATTTGTGGTTGGGAGTTCCTGTCACCCAAGTGTGGATTGTTAGCACGCCTGTGACATACGGAAGGAGTAGTGTAGAGAGGGTAGCTTCTATTTTTGCGGTCTGCAGAATGACCCCCGTACAGTGCAGCACACCAACCTCTTCAGAATTCAGACAAATTAGTACCTAAAATACCTGAAAAAGCAAAAACAAAGTTTGAATGTTTCCAAATTGACGCAATTCCGTAGGGTTAAACCTTACAAGTGACATATGTGGCCCATCAAATTCTCGAGAGATTCTTAGTGGTAGTCAAGTGCATGGCGCAAACTGAAAAGGTTGGGCAGCATCGGCCGCGTCATCTTTTATGTGTGATCTTGTCTCTGAAAATGTTTGATATTTTACGCGGATTCCTGCTGTCAGCCGTGACCTGCTGTCCTACTTTTATCCACTCTACACGTATCTTTCATCAACATTCATGTGATTTCTATGGAATTCCCTTTTATTGTTTCTGTGCTTCACGTGGTTCTGAAATGATTCTTCGTAGAATCCCTACGATCGTTTTCCAAGGTGTCATCTCGTGCAAAAAGTTGGGCCGAGCCGGTGATCGAAACCGGGACCTCTCGCACCCAAAGCGAGAATCATACCACACACTAGACACTCGGCACGTTATGTTGTCCCAAGCGGAAGGCGCTTATGTGATCCGGCGTCGGCTGCAGTCCATTCGCCGATCTAAAGAAACCGGTTTCCAAATATCATCGATCGTTGATTCTGAAAAGTGCTCGTTCACGCTGATCAATAGCCGTGCTAGCGTCAGTCGCTAGGGCTATGTAATTTCTTTGGAATTAACCACTAGATGATCCAAACCACGAGGCATCGGCATCAGTAATTATATCCTCGAATACTGCGTTAATGGTGTACGTCGCTCCATGTCAAAGATGCTCCTCCAATCAGAATCTGTTTGGGTTTTCCTCAAGATGGGGTCGTATTTTGCGGTTTGTGTATTGTTTATTTTTGCGACTTGTGGCGTTTGTAGTCGAAGGGAAGCACTTTATTTTTTCGACAAAAGTGCGACACCAGCAGTTTTTTGGAGAACTGAAGTTGTTTCTGAGGATTTCAAACCAACCAATTTGAGACGCTTGTTCTTTCAAGCAGTTTTCATGTACGCGAGCCCGCCTGGCTAGTTTTGGCAGGTCTTAGGCGTGGGGTTTGGAAGTGAGTGTGATGAATCCGGTAAACGAATATTGCGGACACGCGTTCATAATTGGAGCGAGTGCTCAAGAGTGTTAGAGATCTCTTTAAAAGGGAAGGCTGTCCGATTCCAGAATCCTTCCGAACATTGGGGTTGGCCCTGCTTCCAACAATATGGATCACGCAGGGGGTCGCTTTCTGTCCCAGCCTTTGAGTTCAGTCCATTTTGATTGGTCGCACATCTCCTATGGAACCACCGAAAACAAAGGTTGCGCCCCGAGTCATCATACGGGCCGAAACTCCTACAAACACCTTCACAATCCTAGTTTGTCGCACATCTGAATGTGAACGCATGGCGCATCAAAGGGTTTGATCAACATTGACCACTTCGTCTTCGTGCTTTGGCTGACAAAGAAGAGAACGGTCATTTTGAGCTGACATTTTTGAATGTTTTCCCGCTTGAACGGTGCCAGAGTTGGCAGTTTTCCAGCAACGCCGGCAATCAATAGTGAAAAGAAATCAAAAAAGCACATGATTTTTATCGGTGAGTCCAATTGGAAAAGTGAAATTTCTCTACAACAATTATAGACATACAAAATATACAGCAAAACGAGACGAGATCTGTGAGCACAAGTGATTGACGGCGAGTGAAATTCTACTGTGAGAATGGTCATTTGGGCGTTGATCAATTAGCGATCGATAATCGATCACTCAATCGTATTGTCCAAATTGCTTCTTGAGTCGTTCACAAGGCACTGAGCCTGTAAATAAATCAAATTGACACTATGTAATTAGCTACCGTAACAGCTACAGTAAGACAACTAACATTACGACGCTTGGCGTCATGCCAATCAGCCAACGCAGCCTTGTACTGGTCGGCTTTCTTGCACCATTCTCGTTGACAGGACTTGTAGGCCTGCACTGATCGTGGTTTAGTACATTCTTCTGAAAATAGTTAAGGTTTGAACCGCTCGGAGTTGATTACTCGCTATTTAGGTTGCGCCATATATTCGACTCCCATTCGTAATTGTGATAGCTTTGGATAGGTATATTTTTACACAAACAAACTATATAAAAGGGCGGAAGTGGTGTAGTGGCAAGTGGCGCGCTTACCACGCGAGCGGTCCGGGGATCAAATCCTGGGTCGTGAGTCGCCCGGGCCAACCAAGCCTTCCATCCCTCCGGGGTCGGTTAATTGGTACCAGACTTGTCTGGGAGGATAAAAAACACTGACTTGTACATCGGCTGGCCCCCGCAAGTCATTGTATAGGCCACATCGCATTCAAACGCCACTGCGAATCAAATGGAAGTAGAATGCGTGCCGCATCCCAAAAAGGGATTGATCAACGGCAAATGCTTTATCACTTTTTATTTCTACACAATGACTTTTCGGTTTGTTGTGCAGACGTTTGTTATCGTGGACAAGTCTGGAATTGACTAAGCGCCCTGGTTCTGATTATTACGAGGTTTGAGCCCTGGGCTATGTGTAGGTACGACAGCAGCGCCACTTGGCACTGCACCAGTTTCGCCTTCATCTGTGTCCTTTAGTAATAAGGAACAGGTAGAGAATGGCAACAGATCGTGTCGTATGGGAGGCTACCCAACATCAGTGAGAATAAAGCTAAATATAAGTTCAAATTACCACCCACCATGATCTACCACCAATCGATATTTGACCATTTGTCGTCCGTTCAGAAAGCATTCATAGTCGGCGTTATCTTCACGCGACACCTCCATAATCACCAAACCACCAGCATCGGTGAACAAAAGACGTGAAGATGGGGTAATACTAAATGTAGGTGAGGTTTAACCTGAAGCTGAGCTGCGAATCGGTAGAGCAACTTACTTATTCCCGTCACGTTTCCAAACAGCACCGGGAGCACCCACGAGGTGAACAGTATC